GGTGATCTCCGGATGGGGCTCTTTTGATTGAAGCTCACGTCGAGTTTTCCATCAAAAAATAGTCGACTGTCGGAAGAGTATCTCCTAGTGGAAGAAATCTCTCCCAAATAATTCGGAGAAGATGATTGAAGATCTAAAAAACCAATTAGATAAAGCTCAGGATGATGAGGATACATCAACAGAAGAAATAAAAGAGATCAGAAGGAAATTATGCGCAGCGTTGCGGGAAGATGAAATCTTCTGGCAACAAAAGAGCCGTGAAAGATGGCACAAGGAAGGGGATAAAAACACAAAAATTTTCCATGCCATTACTAAACAAAGGAGAAGCCGGAACCGTATCATCGCCTTGAAAGATCATAATGGAAATTGGGTGGACACCGCGAAAGGCATTGAAAGGGTGGCCTCACAATATTTTCAGGATCTGTTTACCTCATCGCAGTGCACAGACCCCGGAAACGCACTCCGGTATATTACCGAGAAAGTTACTGATTCTTCCAACCAACTCCTGCAAAAGGATCCCTCAGAAGCAGAAATTAAGGAAGCCCTCTTTGATATTAACCCGGATAAAGATGGCCCAGATGGGATGACGAGTAAATTTTTTCAAAAATTCTGGTTGGAGTTCCGCCATGACATAGTTAAATTGGTGAAAGACTTTTTTATTTCGGGAATTTTTGATCCTAGACTTAACCAGACGAACATTTGCCTTATCCCAAAGAAGGAAAAACCGAGAGCAATGACGGAATTTCGCCAGATTAGTTTCTGCAATGTAAGCTACAAGATTATCTCTAAGCTTCCTTGCAAAAGACTCAAGAGGACCTTACCAAACCTGATCTCGGAAACACAATCAGCCTTTGTGGCTAGACGTTTGATCACAGACAATATACTGCTGGCACAAGAAAATTTTCACGCCCTTCGCACAAATTCTATCTCTAGAGAGAGCTTCATGGCCATCAAGACAGACATGAGCCAGGCTTACGACCGGGTAGAATGGGGTTTCCTCGAAGATCTTATGCTTAAACTTGGGTTTTTCGAGAGATGGGTGAGACTTATAATGTTCTGCATCTCCTCTGTTTCGTACCAAGTCCTGATTAACGGAGAACCAAAAGGAAAAATCATCCCGACGCGAGGACTTCGACAAGGAGACCCCTTATCCCCATTCCTTTTTATCATGTGTACTGAGGCTCTTATCTCCCTCCTTAACGGGGCAGAGGAGGAAAAACGCATTTATGGGTTAAAAGTAACCCAAGCAAGCCCTCCAGTTTCACATTTGCTTTTTGCCGATGATAGCATGTTCTTCTGTAAAAAGAACGTCCAGGAGGGTTCTGAGATTTTTGGGATTATTAATACATATGGATCAGCCTCAGGCCAACAACTAAACTTAGGCAAATCATCCATCATTTTTGGGAATAGAGTACCAGAATTTAAAGATGGCTATCAAAAATGCTGTTGGAATATCTCCTGAGGGCAGCATGGGCATGTAACTGGGCCTCCCAGAACAGATCTGCGGATCAAAGAGGAAAGTTTTCGCATATGTTCAGGATCGGCTGAGTAACCGAGTCAATAATTGGTCTGCAAGACTTCTTTCCAAAGGTGGAAAAGAAATTCAAATCAAATCAGTCGCTCAGGCTGTTCCCACGTATGTCATGTCATGCTTCTTCTTACCCCAAGGAGCTCCAAGCAGAATAGTTCCGGAATCCACTGGATTGCCTGGGATAAGATTTGCATCCCCCAAGATATGGGAGGACTTGGATTTAGAGACTTACAAGATTTTAATTTAGCCATTCTAGCTAAACAGCTATGACGACTTATTCAGTATCCTTTATCCCTCTTAGCTCGGGTTCTGAGAGGCAGATATTATAGACAGACTGATCCCTTAGAGGACCGGAATGTCTATTCTCCATCTTATGGGTGGCGGAGTATCATGGCTGCTAAGCCTTTCTTGAAGATGGGCCTGAGGAAGACGATTGGCTCAGGTCTTAACACAAGAGTTTGGAGTGAACCGTGGATCCTTGATCTTAGGGCTCGACCGGCAAGCGCCACCCCACAGATCGGATATCGAGATCCAGGATTATTAGTATACTCTTTTATCCGTCAAGACACGAAACAATGGGATGTCCCCCTCTTGAGAGAGTTTTTCCAACCCGAGGACGTCTCCCTCATCCTTGGGTTGAGACCTAGCCGTACCCGGACCTTAGATGGATACGCCTGGAACCATTCCAAATCAGGACTTTACACGGTTAAGTCGGGATATGACCTGATTAGAAGGACTAAGTTAGATCGAGATGCGGGAGCAAGGAGCGGGCCAAGTATCACGGCCCTCCAAAGACATGTATGGAAAGTCCGTACACCTGGAAAGATGAAACACTTTATGTGGCAATCTCTATCAGGGTGTGTCGCAACCTGCCAGAACCTCACTTACCAGCATATGGGGTCTGATAAGCGCTGCCCCCGGTGTGGGGATCCTGAAGAGTCTATAAACCCTCTATTGTTTTATGTCCCCCGGCATTACAAGTCTGGGCGTTATCGGACTTTCCGTCCCTTCTGGGTTTTTTCCCGAGCACTTCTATTTATTAAAATTTGAGCTTTCTCTTTTGGAAAACAAAGGAGTTGGGCATGACAGATCCCCAGAAGGATGTATATCCTTGGATCCTATGGTTTATCTGGAAAGCAAGGAATGACAAAATCTTCAAGGGGAAAGACTCCTCCCCCGAAGATACTTGGATTCACGCCAAGGTGGAAGCGGAAATTTGGAGGATTGCGAATCTGCCGGAAGATGACGTCGACCCTATCGCTGGGACGATAGGCCCCTCTCAGCCCCTGATACCCCTAACCGGGGACCTGCAAATCCCGATATGCCAGATTGATGCTTCATGGATCGATCACAGACCGGTTAGCGGCCTTGGGTGGTGATTAGAGGATGATAGGGGATTAGAGATTTCTGGCCTACAAGGATGTCACAGAAGCCTCTCGGCTCTTCATGCTGAGATGGACTGCCTTCTTTGGGCTATGTCGTGCTTGAGAGATGGACAGATATTTTCGGTGAATTTCCAGACTGATTGCTCGGACTTGGTGTGAATGACGGAATCTCCAGCAGATTGGCCATCCTTATGACAGAGTTGGAAGCCTTCCGGATCCTTCGAGAGAGCTTTGCCGAGTGCACCTTATCCTATATCCCGAGAACTTTAAATGTCCGGGCGGATAGTCTTGCAAAAGGAGCCTGTGCTAGAGGATGTATTTTCTCCCAAATCAATCATAACGAGCCGGTCAAGGATGAACCCCGGATCATCTCTACGACTAGCCAAATGTGATGTATTAATTGGGTAGTGAAAAAAAAAAAAAAAAACCTTAAATACTGAGTGAAAACACCTGCATAAGACATTAAAAGTGATCCATAAAAGTGGTCAAAATCAGGTGTTATCAACTCCCTTAGACTTAGACCTTTGTTTAACCCCAAACAAAAATGTATTTAGGAAAGAGGTTTGAAAAACGCAGGAACTAAACAGTATCTTAGTGACCATGCTTCTAAACTAAAATCAATCATTATGCTCAAGTCAGGTATAGTCTAGAAAATTCTCACCAAAATACTGGCATAACTAGTCTGTTGATCCGTCATGCGAAAGTCTAGACACTTAAACCTATCTTCCAGTCGACTAGCTCTTAACATTCATTCAAAGGTTCAAGTGGTTTTCATCAAAAGGACTTTAGTAAAGCAATCAAGGCTAGGTATTCAAAATGGCTTTTTAGGGTTGAGGTTCTTAGTGTTTTAGGGTTACCTTTTTCTGGAGAGACAAGATATTATGCAAAACAGCAAGAGAGGATGGAGATGTTGATATTCATGGTTTCCAGTCACATTCCTCTTGTCTTAAGATTTCTGATCTCGTTCCTTCAAGGTCTCTCCATAACTCCCGCAGACTTAGATTTTTGTCCAGGTTTTAAAACCAATGATGCACTAATGGATACTTGTAGCCTTATCCAAGTAATTTCCACTATCCTGGACTCTTAAGGCTTTTGGTTTCCTTTCTTTTCATTTTTTTCTCATTTTTCGATTTTTCTTTTTGAAAAAGGAAACCGCCTTTTGATATAGAGTCTTAGGGAGCACGCAATTTACTTTTACTTTTGTGATTGAGATTTTTGAGAAACCATTAAGTTTTGATATATTCTTGATGCTCCACTTTCCCAAATTCCTTCAGTCTTTCTCTTGAGTGACTGAAAACTATGTTATTCCTCTCTCTCAAGCGTTTTTGCACATATCTGTCGATACAAACTAAAGGGAGAATGCATGAGGTTCGAACATAAAGGTTAGGGTAAAAAGTGTGATACCAGCTAAAGATGAACTGGCCATCTTGGACAACAAAGAGTCATAACGATAAGGTGAAGATGTCCTAGATGTATATTATGATGCCTACTAAAACCAATGATGAGAAAATTAGATGTCAAGATTAAGTTCAAGTGAAATGAGCTAGTATATCTTGGCAGAAAAGATCTCCATGAATAGAAGTCCTCTGGTGGGAGTTCATAGTGTGAGTATTCTAGCTACCTCCTAGTAGAGTTTACAAACACATGGGTCTTACTCATCATCATTTTTTTTTCGGTGTTCCTGTTTTGAAAACCTTTTGAAAAATTTTTTTGAAAGATCTTTTATGGAACACAAACTCAAAACAAACCAAATTTCGCTACCAAGGGATGAACATCCTCCTCCAGACTTAAATCACACTGCCCCTAGTGTGAGAAATCTTTGAGAGGATGGGATAATGATGGATTGAAATTTGGAATGATTAGGTGTACTTACCTGGCGATATTCCGCGGCTCTTGATGTGTTTTCTGGTTCGTGATTTCTGTTCATCTTTTATTCGTTCTTCACTTAAAAACCTGAAATAACAGAAGACAAAAACAAAGCAGCAAAATAGAAAATGCAAATCAAAGGGAATAAGTAAAATACCAAGAGGGTTGCCTCCCACTAAGCGCTTGCTTAAATTCATTAGCTTGACTTTGATGATGCTTTAGCCTGGTGGATCTGCCAAGAGCATTTCTTCTCTTCCTTCTTCTTCTGCGAGGTATGGTTTGACACGCTGTCCATTAACTACAAATGTTTCTCCCTTCTTACCCCAAAGAATGAGTGCTCCGTATGGTTTGACTTCCTTTACTCTGAAAGCTCCAGACCATCTTGATCGTAGCTTTCCTGGAAAAAGCTTAAGGCGCGAATTGAAAAGAAGAACCCTGTCATTTGGAGCAAAAGACCGAGGTATGACCCTTTTGTCGTGATACGCCTTCGTCTTTTCCTTGTATATCTTGGAATTTTCATAAGCGTTATGGCGGATTTCTTCTAACTCGTGCATTTGAAGCATTCTTCTTTCTCCAACTGCCTTAAATTTCATGTTCATCTCCTTAATCGCCCAATGTGCTTTGTACTCGAGCTCCACAGGAAGGTGACATGCTTTTCCGTAAACAAGATTGAACTGTGTGGTCCCTAAAGGAGTTTTGTATGCTGTCTGATAGGCCCAAAGTGCATTGTCGAGTTTTTCAGACCAATCCTTGCAATTTACGCCATTTGTCTTTTGCAAAATCTATTTGATCTCTCTGTTAGAGATTTCCACTTTTCCACTTGTTTGAGGGTGATATGGAGATGCAATTTTATGTGTGACCCTGTTCTTTTTTAGCAGATTTTCGAAAACTCTGTTGATGAAATGGGATCCCCCATCGCTTATAACAATCCGAGGAATTCCAAAGCGAGGGAAAATGATTGATTGAAACAGTTTTATAACCACTTTTGCATCATTATTAGGGCTGGCAATTTCTTCTACCCATTTAGAGACATAGTCTACCGCTACTAAGATGTATTTGTTTCCAAAAGAATTTTGGAAAGGTCCCATAAAATCAATCCCCCATACATCAAAGATTTCGACTTCGAGAATAAAGTTTTGAGGCATCTCATTCCTCTTACTGATTTTTCCAATTCATTGGCACGAATAACAGTGTGAGATGTAGACGTGAGTGTCTTTAAACATAGTAGGCCACCGAAATCCTGCTTGAAGAACTTTGGAAACTGTTTTGTAGGTATCGAAATGTCCTGCATATGCTGAACTATGGCATCCAAACAGTGTTCCTTCCATTTCTTCTTCGGCGATGCACCTTCTGAATAAACCATCTACACATCTCCGATAGAGAAAAGGTTCATCCCAGAAATAGTGCCGAACTTCCATTAAAAACAGAATTCATCCACGCTCGTGATTCTCTATAGGTAGCTTTCGCCTCCTAAAGCGACTTCGCGCGATCACTTCTAGGTCTGGTAATTTGATACAACACTCTCGTGGCTCCAATTACTGAGATCAATTTCTAAGCGGATAGCAACAGAAACAGCATAGGGAACAAGAATGAACGAATGACTCCTAAAAGATTAATAACCCTAAATCGAACAAAGCATATGATCAATACATGAAATTTCCTTTGAAAAATCTCTTAAAAACCCAACAGGAAAATTACTCAGACATGGTTGAGTTTAACATCACAAAAGTTTTTAGATTGCAGAGAATTGAAATAGATAAAGGTTAGAAACGAAGAACAGAATGAAGCAGTAGAGCCGATGGTGCCCCTCTCGGTGGCTCCTCTTCACGGCGAGTCTCTCTCTCTAGGGTTTCTGGCAAAATGTGGCAAACCCTTCTAAATGACTTAAAAGAGGTTATATAGTGTCTTGAGACCTCGGGAACGCCTATGGCTTGCAGGAATAATGACAGGAATGACTTGGGATTTAAAATGGACTTCTGAGGCTCGGAAATAAGCTCCCCCACGGTCTACAATGTCGCATCCCTGGTGAATGATGTTTTGGCTGCGGATAAGCTTCTGACTGTGATGATTTTCCTTCACTGCATCGACCATATCTGTAGATCTAACCGTTCGATTGCTTTGATTCCTCTTTCATTGGAAATCTGGTTGTCTCCTCTATCTTGTGTTCAAATTCGGGGATGATCATACGGTGGGAAGGACTACATTTGTTTCCAAACTTCTGACGGTCCGAATTTATCCAAAGTTGTGCTTTTTGCTTCCAAATGCATTTCTTTTGTCAAAATATTCTGAAAAATATTTTGAGACTCTAAAACATGGAAATCACTTAAAAACCTTTAAAACTGAATGAAAACACCTGCATAAGACATTGAAAGTGATCAATAAAAGTGGTCAAAATCAGGTGTTATCATTGTTCAATTTGATTTCATCTGCCGTGAAATTCCATGATGGGTATGTATTTAATCTTGATAAATCTGTTGAGAAAGGCCAAAAATTTTCAGGGATGAAGAGTCATGACTGCCATGTGTTTATGCAACGGTTACTTCCTTTCGAATTTGCTGAACTCCTACCAGAAAATGTCCATGAAGTACTTGTAGGCATTGGAGCATTTTTCCGTGATCTTAGTCCTCTGAAGCACTTGGACGTTATCAGAAGATGTAGTTGCACAGCTGGCTGCAAATATTCCTATATTGCTAATTTAGAGAAGATCTTCCCACACGCTATTTTTGATGTTATGGAACATCTACCTATTCATCTCCCTCACGAAGCATAACTAGGTGGACCAGTTCAGTTTAGGTGGATATATCCGTTTGAGCAATTCATGAAACATTTAACAGGAAAGGCCAAAAACCTAGCCAAAGTTGAAGGCTTTATCGTTTCAGGAAGTTTGACAGATAAAACGTCGCATTTCACATCGTACTCTTTTGCTCCAAAAGTTCGTACACGAAAATGAGCTCAACGACATTATGATGATGGGGGGTGTGGGACAAACTTATGCAGTAGAAGGTGTACCAAACATTTTCTCACCGGTCAGACGTCTTAGTGGAAAACTGATGGAAACTTGTTGGTCCAATGAAAAAGACTATCACAGTGCACATACATACATCCTCCTAAACTGTGATGAACTGGCTCCGTTGGAGAGGTTGTTAATTTAGGATTATATTAGTTAGTAATACATATTGATTATTAGAATTTTACTATGTTGTATTCTGCAGCATTTTTGTAAGTCAGGTTCGAGAATGCATTGAAGGCATCAGAAAATGAAATAAATGATCGAAAAGACCAACGGGAATCTCTCTATCGACGATTTTAAAATCATTTGAATGACACCAATTAGTTTTTGTTTAATATTTTTCTAAATATTTTGAATTTATATGAAATTTATTATACTTATTTTTATTATTTTTGATTTTTTTAATTAATTTTTTTGGTTTATTGTAAATGTATTAGGGTTTACCATTTAAAATATAGATTTTAGGTTTAAGTGGTTAGGGTCTAGTACTTTAGTGTTTACGTTGTAGGGTTTAGGATTTATTATTTTACTGTTTATGGTTTAGGATTTAGGGTTTAAATAAGAGGATTTAGGTTTTAGGGTTTAGGGTTTAGTGTATTGTTTTTTATCTTACTCGAATAAAATGAAAATGTGGTGTTAACGAGTAAATGTTATCTGTTAATGAATTGTTATTTGAAAGGAATCTATGTTATCGGCATAGGATAAAGTTAGTAATAGTTTTCATATGTAGTTATCAGATTTATATACATTAAAGTTAGCAAACAATAACAATATTACTTGAACCGTTATGTCATTTACCGATGCCTAACTTCATTATCTACCACACAACACTTGGATACATCAAATCCTGTGTCAAACGATGGGATCATTATCCATGTTATATCTGTGCAGAGCTAATTCCCTTTTTTCTTTGTAGGATCAAGTGAAGTTGACGTTATGAGGAGTAGGGGTAATACAGAGAAAAAAAATGATGTGGCAGGACCAAACTAATTTTGGATCATCTTTTGGTATCTACTTAATTTTTTGATCAACTTTTTCGTTTTAAATAGAATCACTCTTCATGTTAAACATGTTTTTTGTGAATATAGATAATAAAAATGTAATATCTCTATATTATTATCTAATTCTTAGTTTGAGTCTAATTCGACTTATCTAGTGATTTCGCTCTTTCTTGCAAGTCATCTTCTTCTTCTCTAGGCATGCGGCTTTCCCTCTCCTTCTTCAAAGTTGTCAAATATTTTGTTTTCCATTTATATGTTCATTTGTTTTCTGATTTTCTATCCCTAGAAAAAAAAAATCATTTCTTATTTGAGGATTTGGGTTAGTTAGTCATAATTCAGCTTAAAAACCTTCTTTTTTTTTTCTTCGTGTTCTTAAAGAAGACAAATATTGAGTAGAGACGGTCGTTGGCTTTTATCAATAGAAACTATCAGTAACTCTATGAATTTTTTTACGGTTGGTCATAAATTTGTGTTAAGGAATCCCGGAAATGATAAGAATAGAAATTTTGGAATAAAACTCAATTACCCGTTTTCTCTTTCTCATTTGATAGCAATCTTCTTGGTTCGTTCTCCTTACGGTTTTTTTCACTTTGGAACTCACACAAGAGATGTGCAACTCAAAGAGTGATATGATCATGGAGAGCACTCGAAACATAGAGCTAGAACCTGAGGAAGGAGAGCTTGTATCTGAGGAACAAGAGCATGATCAAGAAGAGGCTTTAGTAATTCCGAATGGTCCCATGACAAGATCAAGGACTAAGAAGTTTAAAGAGGCCGTTGGAGGAGTTCTAAGACAAGCACAACATTTGGCTAAAGAGGGAAAAGAGTTCATCACAAATACTTTGGTTGTGATCCAAGTCCTCGCTTAGTGGACTTGTGATCCAATCTTGTACTCTTTTTCCCCACCACTAGTTTTGTCCCAATGGGTTTTCTAGTGATGGGTTTTTAATGAGGCAAGGTTGGATCACCTTCGCAATAAGTTCAGCCCAAAGGAGCCAGCCAAGAGAAGAGGAGCGTGTGAAGATATTTGAAAATCAACTTAGACAGCTCATACTTATATTTCCTAGACATGTTTATTGATTGGCCGAGACTCTCTTCTTTTCCTTTATATTCTCTTGTAATCTCATTTGAGAAACCATCTTTCTTTTATCTAAAAACTTTTCTAAGTAAGATCATTTGTTCTTTTGAACATCTTAGTTTGTGAGTGTGTCATATTTCTCAAACACCCGATTCTTAGGTGTGTAATATCCTCAGAATCAAACCGGAAAATCAAAGGTCTTCTGAAGCCTTTGTCGACCCATCGATCCACTTCCTTGTCCTTTGAGTCGTTTGTATTTCAGAGTTCAAGCTTGTCCGATCCAGTCTTTAGAGTGCCGATTCAGGGAGGAACACAAAACCTTTTTTTTTTGCTTCGTGTTCTTAAAGAAGACAAATATTGAGTAGAGACGGTCGTTGGCTTTTATCAGTAGAAACTATTCAGTTACTCTATGAATTTTTTTACGGTTGGTCATAATTTTGTGTTTAAGGAATCCTGGAAATGAGAAGAATAGAAATTTTGGAATCAGACTCAATTACCCGTTTTCTCTTTCTCATTTGATAGCAATCTTCTTGGTTCGTTCTCCTTACGGTTGTTTTCACTTTGGAACTCACACAAGAGATCTGCAACTCAAAGAGTCTCTTTGTTTTCGCATAAGGTACGTATAATTGTTATAATACAATAAGCCAAAATCAATTCAAGTGTCTCTCCGGTCATCTTAGAGTATTCTTTCCATGCATGCAGTGATGCAGGACCTTAACTTGGACATGCCAGCCAGTTTTGGTAAGGTTTCACTTCCTCTAGATAGGAGATGGGTAGAGAAGCAGTCATTTGTAGGTATCGGAATTTAATTTTGATGGATTGGAAGGTAAGAAGTAGTTGGTATCGTTCCTATCGTTTATGCTTTGGAAAATAGTATTTATAATGGTTTGTAGTCATTAGACAAAATACATTGGACTTTTTTTTAAAACAAAAAAATACATTATCTTGGTAGCCAAGGTTAATGTGATATCATTTTAATATTATTGGTAGTATACGATTCCAATTTCTGTGAATGTTCCATAAAAAAATAGAATATATTACAATATATTGAATGTGATTTACTTTTATATATTGATCGAAGATGTAATTCTTACTTGTGAATAAATAATTGACTCTTTCATTCCATAAAAGAGTAGAACATATATAACAGTTACACTCTAATGTTAATTATATATTGCACTCCAACGATTTCGATGATACATTTGGGACTATTTCAAGGTAACTGTTTAATTTATATAATCGCTATTATATTATTTGGGAAAAGTTAAGTTAAATGACTTCAGCAAATAATCCATGATTTTTTAAGGGTTATTAGGTGGAAGGACATAAGTCAGAGTTCAAATTTGCACCATTAAAATAATCAGTTTATTACATGAAAAATTATACAGCATCACATCCTCTATTACAAGCAATATTATCCATTCTCAATCAATGACACTCAAAAATTTTCTTTCTGACATCCTCATTTTATTGCTTTAGATACTTACTTTTCTTTTTTTTCCCATTTCAAATTTCAAACCACCAACTTTATCTTCTTTCTCTTTTTATTCCTCTCTTCTCTCCCACCGTGGTTAAAAATCTCCCACCACCGACAAAATCTTCGTCGCCACTTCAAAATCCATAAACACCATGACTAAATCCCTCACCGCCGAGACGATTTCAGAAGCTGCCGCGACGAAACCCCTCGCACTCTCTATTTATAGCTTTTCCACCCCAAGCTCACTTTCTGGACAGGTTTTCTCCACATCTTCGATTCGTTATTCTTTGTACATTGTTTCTTATTCGTGTTTCGCATCTACAAAGTTTTTCTTCAGGTCCCTTAGATCTAAATGCCACTTTTGTTTATCAGATTTACGTTTTCACATATATTTGCTCTATAGTAGTGTTAAACCTTCCATTTCGAGTTAGTTTTATACCCGTCCACTTTATGTTACAGAAGTTCTATTCAATTTCGGCATAAATCAGACCCAAGAAATATGTTAAAATTTTGACTATTAATAGTTGTTTACTTTTTGTCAAATCTCTGTGTACCTATTTTTCTATTAATAGTTGTCTACCTCTCGTTTCGTTTTCAGAATGGCCAACATTCCTCTAGCTACAGATGCATCCCCTATTGAACCTCTACGTGTATCGTTGAATCATGTGCTTCTAAATTTATTGCGGTCAACTTAGATGTTAGTTGTTTTCTATTAATAGTTGTCTACTTTATCTTTGTTCAGATCGCTTAATAGTAGTCTACTTTAATAGTTGTCTACGTTATCTTTGTTTTCTGCTAAAAGTTGTCTTATATTTGTCTACTAATAGTTGTCTACTTTATTAGTATATACAGAATGGCAAACAATGTATCTCTCCAGCTTCAGATGTATTGATCGATGTCTTTGTAAGAGTAGAGAGAGAATCTGCGGACTTCAGCTGTTAGACCGTTCATTCCCCGAATGCGGTTGGAAACACCACTTGAAGTGTTGTGAGCATTGCTACCTGTTCACTCATTACCAAATTGTGAGGAAATGTTCTTGCACCTTAGTTATCTGCCATAGTAAACTACCTATGTGTAGATGACTATGTTATGTATTCTTGTTATGAACCTTTTTTTGTAGTCAACTACTATTTAATTATGAACATTTTGTTTCGCATTTGTAGCGTACAATTTTATCTGTATATTAATTGCTATATACTTATTAATTGTAGTTGAAATTTTTGTATCTAACTACTTAGTATTACTTTCTATTAAGATGCCTAGCGTTATGTACTCGGATTTTAAATAAAAAACAATCGACAACAAGATAAAAAAAGTCAGAAATACCCCTATTATACTGTTCATAGTAGCCTAGCGAAGAAACACTAACATAGCATACCCGAATTCAGAGTCTGTTAAAGATCAGGTTTGTACTTGTATAAGTATATATAGTCAAACATTTTATAGTCACCTTTTTTGTATCCATCTACTGTAACTGTTCAGGCAACCGAGGATATTTCAGACCTCCCAGATCTGAATTCCAAGTCTGCTAAGTTCAAGTTCGTATTCATCTATTAATAGTCATATATTTTATAATAGTTTTTTCATTCCTCTAGTGATATTGTTTAGGCAACCGAGAATATGTTAGCTTTTCCAGATCCAAATTCTGAATTCGCTTAAGTTCAGGTTCATATACATCTAATAGTACCCATCTATTTTATAATCGTTTTTTATTAGTCTAGTGATACTGTTCAGGCAACCGAGGATATGTTAGACCTCCCATTTTCGAATTTCAAATCCGCTAACAACCAAGTTTGTATTTATCTATTTGTAGCCGTCTATTTTGTAAATGATTATTTTGATTTATATACTGTTACTACTTAGACAATCGACGATAATGGAGGTGCAGACAATCAGACCCGAATTCCGAGTTAGATAAAGGACAGGTTTTGTATCCATCTACTAATAGTTGTCTATGTAATTCATATATGTAATTGCCTATGTCTTTTGTTTATTTTTGACTGTTCAGGTTATCGATGATAATGCTGGCCGAACCGATCCAAATACCGAAGAAGCTCGGGAACAAGTACGCAATCGACTTTTAATATTCGTCTATTTATGTATAAATTGTAGACACTGCTATCATTCCAAAATTAACACTGCTATCATTCCAAAGTCGACTTTAAATTACTTTTATTATCCCAAAAGTAGACACTGCTATCGTTCCAAAGTTGATAGTAGCGTCTTAAACTTTAAAAAGCAACATCATTGTCGTGTCAGCAAAAAGCAATGTTTATGATAAGGGAGCAAGGAGTTTTTAGGATTCGCCTAATTGTCAGAAACCAAACTATTATTTCTGCAATTCACCCATTTTTTTAATGGATCAGCAAACGGGTCATAAGCAAGATCCGTGTCTCCAAAAATCCGGATCAAAAGATCCGCGTCTTTTACTTTCGGATCATATAAATATTTGGACGATGATACGCTTAATGATTTTTTTTGTTTGTTCTTTTTTATAGTGACATTTCATTTCATGTAATATTCTACAAAACAATGTTCATTTTTTAAAATGTCTACTTAAATAATAGTATAGAAATATGTTAGTGTTTCTTATTGGAAAATAATATTACAGCAATATAGAAGAAGATGATTTGCAAGAAAGACAGAAATTAGTTGGCAAAATCAAAATAGATTCCAAGTAAGGATTGGATTCCTAATTATGAGATTGCAAGGGAGAAACCTACAAAGAAATAGAAACCCTTTTGTCTTCTCATGGTTAGACACTATTTTTGTCGGGATTTATTTTTTTTTTGTCATTTAAATTTGTTTCCTTTTAATTATCCGAAAATGTGTAATCCTTAATTTGTAGGATGACTTTTGGGTCTTGCAAATAATAAATATATCTTGACAATGCCTCAACTCAGTTAGAATTAAGCAAAAAAATAATATGCACTACAATTTGTAATGTTTATACCAATATATATTTTTACAAAATAATTTTACTTAATTATAGACAAAAAAAGTTTCTCAAACTATAGCGCTGATTAATTTCTAGTCAAATACAAAATGGAAACATAAATATATTATTAATATCACTGCTATCAAATCACAAACTCAACATTAAAACTCAACTACCAAATTACAAACTACTGTACAGATAAAAACCAACTATCAAGTCATAAATGACACTCACACAAATCCTACTTTCCAAACACTTTGTAATATCAAAACTAATATATGTCTAATATAAAAGTTATCAACTAATATCTAAATTTTAATAAAATTTAATGTACTCGCCGAACAAACATCGTTAAACACCCATGAGGGTTCAGAATCGAGTGGATGATTAAAATATTTGCTGAAAAGAAGCGCTGCATAATCATAACGAACATAGAAATTTGAAACAACCACTTAGGCTAAATGAACTCAGCCATTATTAGAATGAAAACATAAACTAGAAAGAAGATATTCACCAGAACCGTCTACATCTTTGCACAATCCGCGGGCTTAAATGACACCGTTTTAGAAACGGTGTCATATCCAACAAGAAAGTTCATCTGTGATAAATTCCCGTAAATGGCTAAGTCCTCGCTCCCACGGAAGGCGAAGCAAACCAGCTCCTCTGAGAGCTGCACAAAGGAATTGGAGGAGTCTAACTTCACATCTGCTCCATCGAAATGCATAGTAATTACTGGGACTTTCAGATTAGCGGTTGCGCTGTAACACAGACTCAATGGACTCTCTGGGTCGTTTTGCCTCTCAGCATCGATTGAGGACGCAACCGCATCCTCGAGCTCGGAGTAAAATGTGGTGGGTAGCATCGTCAGAGTTGTGCCCGAATCGATGATGATGTTTCCCTCTCCCTCGCCGCTTCCAGGATCTGAGACTGGGAATTTGATATTCTTGCTTCCCACGCTAATGGAAGCTAGGGTTAGGTAATAGAAGGTCTCTCGTGATTTCGTGATCAAAGGAGTTGAGACAGCTCCTGTTCCTGACACGACGGCACTGGTTCCGAAGTTGATATTGCTCGTTTTACCGTTTTCTGAAGATAGAGGGATCAAGCAGTATGAGAATTTGCCATCTATCGACTCACCGAGTTGCGAAATGAGCGAAACCGGACCACCACCAAGTCCGACGATTCCGGAGCCCTCCTTGTTAAATGTTCCATTGTTGTTGTGACCACATCCGATGATAACATTTTTGAGCTGCACTGGGCGATTATTAGTCGACCCGAGCGTTAAGGTGTCCGCAGCGACATTACCGTTTGTATAAGAGTGATCTCCGTAAGACATGGAGTAAGAGCAAGTATTGTCTTCTGTGGAACAAGAGGCTTGATTTCCAAGGGCGCTACATTGGCTTGAGGAGCAAGAAAAATCTTTGTATGTAGAAGACGCTTTAGGGTCAAAGAGAGGATCATTCTGAGTGTAACAGTCATCGCATGGTTTGCATTGCGTCCAGAGGAGATCGCTTCCCGTGTCAGCAATCGCCATGATCGGGAATGGAGGTGTCCCGAGGGATATATTCATGAGATATTCACCCCTATTTGAGGTGATCTCAGTTTGGGGCGAGTCAACTGATGCATCTTTGCTAGAGAAATGGACAACATGGTTTACGGATCGGCGGATAGCGTTTCTCAAACGCTGAGATGAGGTTTCCGTCGGTTTGTAGAAAGGAGATTTAGGAGAATCGCGGTGGATCAGATCCGTGGTGAAGCCGAGTTTTGTATGTGCGTTTGCGTTTGAGAGAAAAGGTGAAGAGAGTATACATAGAGAAATAAGAACTGTAGAGAATATAGAAGCCATTGTATTCGTATTTTAAGTCAATGGTGAGTTTTCTGTTTGTTTCTTTGACAATCTAATGTATTGATATTTATAACATTAATAGGATAATGGAAAATTAATGGCAATACATGCTGAGATTTTGATATTTTGAGTAAGTAATCTACAAATTTATTTCTCATTTGTGTTTAACGAATCTGACAGATAAGAAAATATACTAGAGAAGATTTTCTTATCTTAAAATAAAAGAAAATAGATTTCCTCATATTAATGCATATATTTCACTATTGCATTCATTTCATGTGGAAGTGTTTCTTGTTGCCTGTATCTTCATGTTGTATTTTCTTTAAATGCTAACATATATTCCTCCTCTTTGGATCTTATATTCTTCAAAGCATTTAACATATATAGACGGAAATTCTCATGAATTAGTGACTTATTTCTCATTTTGGTTAATGTATCATTCACCTAAACACGTGTCTACATGATTTTCTTAATTTATTTGGTATATCAATCTCCTCAGTTTAGTGCACTACGTATAATTTTCACAATCTTATCTTTATAAAAACATTCCTATGTTAGCTCAATTATTATCCTAAAATTTTGAAATGATATTTGCATTGATTCACACTATTTTAAATTTCAATTATTAAAAAAACATAGTTTTTTAAATATATTTTATTTTAGGGTTAATTTGTGTAATTGCACTTTTGGGTTTTATTTTGTAAATATGTTTGTTAAGAAGAAAAGAAAAACCCAAATTATAGAATCTAACACACAAGTCATCTAGAAATGGGGAAGACAAGTTACAGTTTTACTTTTAAAACCCTAATAAAAGAAAGAGCTGCGTAGTTTCAGCGCATGAGAAAAAACGAGTTGATGATGGCATAGAATTTCTAGACGTAGCAACGGATCACATGGCTGGTGGGACGTATTCAGAAGATCATTGGTAAGCGTTGAGTATTGTCGGAGAGGGTTTATCGAGAAATTGATCAAAGTAGGGAAAGGATGGTGAAAGGTTCCAATACTAATTCTCTCAAACCTTGTAACGATTTTGGGTCAATCAAGAGCCAAATGTACCGGCAGTATAGAAAAATAGACCACTTTTGTTTCAGTGGTGTTTTTTTACGAATTACGTGTGAGGACTGAGGACCAATTATTGTTGGAAAACTGTTAAGTATAGCAATGTCTAGTAACGGAAAGAGAATAACCAACTCATATTAAATGCTAAGAGGTGGCTGCGATGAAAAACTGAGAAATAGATGAAACGTATCAAGAACCCGCAAAAGAATAAAACCATCTATGTGAAAAACTTCAGCTTAAGAAAATTGTATTATATATAAATCCAGAGCGGGTGTGATGGCATTAGGCACTAGCAGATAATTGCTTAAGCAGTCTTAGGCTTTGGCTTGATTCGCTTCACTCTCGAGTATAAGAAGACTCCCGCTAGAGCGATCCCGGTTCCTACAAATAAGCAAAATAAAGAAACCAACAATGAGCTTCAAAAGATCGTGCAAGACAGGTTCACTAGCCGAGAATAAGGGACTGGATATTTACCAAAAGCATTAACAGGCGAGACCGGTGTCTTGAAGAAGATGACAGAGCTCACGATAACCACGACACGCTTCACACAGTTTCCTACAGAATGTGTAACCGGTGATACTCTTGCCAGTATCATGTACGATACCTATAGTTTCCACATTTTGTCAAAATCCTTCAATTCAAAAATCTTATGATGCGCTTAAGTGAACCAACAAAATCAGTAGAGAGAAAGATAGCCTCACCTGCTGGTACGCGTGGAAGCAGAGTGCAGCAATAAGAGACTTTGTATAGATTTGTTGAACATTCACACCCTGAAACCGAAATGTGGTGTTAGGGACTGTAAACATTTGTGAAGGATACAAAGGACTAATGTTGCAATGTATATAAACTCACAGCTGATTGGATGTATGAAGGAGTGAACTTGATTCCTTCGGAGAAGAAAGTCACAGGAGCCATCAGGAAGAGAGACATCAATGTTATTATAGAGAAGAGGGTGATGTTGTCCAAAGAATCCTGCCAACAAGCAACATAAAGATTTGTTTTTATTTTTCTAAATCACAAAAAATTGACTAAATTTCCAATCCATGCGCAGGAAACTTACGTCTTTCTTTACCATGACTTTTTTACTCAGCACATTACGGGATTGGTTAGTCAAGTTTGAAGCCATTGCACTCAAAAATCCAGCCCTGCCACAAAAGCAGTAATTGTAGTAAATATCTGCAAGTTATCAGAGAAATAGTTCATCACCAACTCAAATGTCACAATACTCGAACAAACTTACCAGTTGAATGAGACCTCTGTCACGGAAGCAAGTGCAACTCCACCAACGATTGGTATGATGGAACCGATGACCCATGGAGTGGGCACCTACGAAGAAAGTAATAAATCAAGCTCTAAAACATCCAAACTGTTGAAGTTGCACATGTTATACACAAATTAAACACAGTCAAAGAAGCTCATAGGAAAGCATGAGCATCAAGATGAGAAAGAAAAACGTAAATCAGAGAAGAGCTTACCTCCCCGAGAAACATAGCAGACAACACAACAGAGAAGAAAGGCTCCATGGCTTTAATGGTGTGAGTAAACGAAACGGAAACTTTCCCGAGGCTCATGTTAGTAAACAGATTACCAAGTGTGTGCACAACTGCAAGTGGTAAGATGGCCGCTAGCTATCAATGTAAGAAAATATCAGTGTGTGAGTAACATATCTCCAGAATAAGAACCATTTAAGCGATTAACAGTCTCCAGGAAAAACAAAAAGCACCTGAGCACCACTGATCTTCGGTCTCTTATACAGGTTAAGAGCCCACATGAAGGTAATGAGCACACTACCGACAGCAAACTGAACCAAAGTGACAGTCATTGGGGCGTGTAGAGCTTTCAAAACCTGCAAGAACAAGAAACAAGAAACTGTTATTGGTTCTTTTAGTATAAAGCAATAAATCAGCAATCAGCAGGGTGAATCTCTTTCCAGTTTCATATGATAATAATATATAATCTAATTTTTGAATTCTCCGTTCCTAATCAAAACAGATCCGTCACTGAAATCTTGGGACTAAACGAAGCATGTACAGAAAGCGAAACATTGGACTCAGAGTAAACAAACAAGGCTTTCAGAATAAGAAACAAGAAACTACTATGAATTCTCTCAGAATCAAACAGTAAAACATATCAAAAAAAGTATCAGCAATCAGCGGGACAAATCTCTCTCCAATTTCCCATGACCCTAACGATATCATCAAAATTCTCAATTCATCATCCTATATTTATCTCCATTTCTAACAAAAACTGATAAAACACTGAAACCTGAAATCACTAAAGTAAACATGTACAGAAAACTATGTCAGAATAAACGACCCATATAATAAAACAATATAACATATCAAGAATCAAATCAGCAGTCCACAGGACAAATCTCTCTACAGTTTCATGACCCTCAGATATAATTAAATTTCAGAATTCTTCAACCTACACTTATCTCCGTTCCTAATCAAAGCAGATACAACACGATTGAACAGAAAGGTGAGTCTAATTTTTTACAAAATATTTAATCTATCAAACTTATAACAGCTTTGTTCAAACACTGTCAAACACTGAATCTCAAAACAAATAAACATCTACAGAAAGCGAAATATTGGGCTCAGATTAAATCAACCGGGAAGAAGCTAAACGTACCTGTTTATTGTAGATGTTGAAGTAAATATTGAAAAGGTACCAAAACGCAAACAATAAGCCAAGCTCTAGAATCTTCGTCAGTTTTCCACTCTGTTCTCCTTCGTCAGCGCTTTCGGGAACTGCAGTAGCGGCGGTTTTGAAACGGTTCATATGGAGAGAAGGGGAGATCGAAGGAACACCGGACCAAGCACGAAGCGGCGAATCAGATGAGGCGAGACGCCAAGATCGGTGAGATAAAGAAGGAATAGAGACGACATTTAGTGGAGAGACGTTGAGATCGTGGAAGTTGGAAGAGGAAGAAGCCGTTACGGATTGGCGAAGAGAGAGACGCCGTGGTTTCAGGAGAGGGAGTGACGGAGATAGGGAAAAAACGGCGGAGCTCTGCATCATCTCAGCGTTGGAGATCTGAATCAGAGGTTGGTGGAAGAAGAAGGCGTTGGAGACTCCGTCGAGTGGGTTGGTGAGGGGCTGATACGAATACTCTCAACGAGCAACTATGAAATAAGGAGGCGACTGAGTAATAGATTTATTGAAACGAAAAGAGGTGTATAATTTTTTTTTAACCTTACTACCACAACGATAATCTATCACTTCTTTTGGTTGAAAAGTCCGCCTTTCAAAACTTTAGGCTTTGCACCTAATAGAATAGTCAAATTGGGCTCTGACCCGCAGTGGTGCGGGTTTGGGCTTCATAAAATTTGTCTAAATAAAAAACGGGTTACGCAGTCCAAACCCGCGTGGAAGTTAGGGTTTTGCAGATCGAATCAGAGCGGAACCGCGGATTTGCGGGTCAACCCGCAGAATTTGATATTTTCTTGTAAAGTTCGAAAAGTGAAGTATTTTGTTATTTTTGATTAGTGGATTTCGAAGTAGTAGTTTTATGGAGTGAATCGAAGCCTAGTGGAGTCATACAATTCAGCCGTTGGGTTTTGTAATAGCTCCATTTCAATGAGATTAAGGAATCATCAAACTGGTATGTGTTTTATATTCGATTCAGATTCTGTGATTGGATTTTTGAATTTGGGAGAAAATTTGGTCATTGTCTTTCCAGCTAAAAACTCGTATTTTTTTAGAGTTTTAATTTCAGTTTAATGTCATAAATTTGCTTTTTTTGTTGGTTTTGATCATCGACTATATCACGGACGTGGTTTTTATTTTGTCCGCAGCAATGCAAAGGTAATTTAGAATCGCTTAAATCTTGAATTGACAATAAATAAGTTTGCTTGAGAATCACATTGTTTGTATGCTGGACTAACAAATAAGCTTTGTTCATCATTTTTTTTTTTTTTTGATTTTATATGTGAATGTCTTGTTGCTTGTATCTTGATGGTTATCTAGATTAAATTACCAGTTTTGATGTGTATCATTATTTGTAATTCATTTATTTGCTTTTCAAAACTAAGTAAATTGATTTTTCAAATCTTATGGCATCCTAGGGTTATGAGTTTTGTATAAGAGGTTAATCGAATTCATTTGTTTGTTAATCGAATTTACTTAGACAAGAATTCTTTTTAGTTTTGTTTTGTATGCATATTGTGATTCAGTTACGAACAAAACTTTATTCTCCTCTTGCTGATTTTCTGGTTCTATAAATCTAAATGTCATAAAAACTTTAAGATGAAGAAGAAAGTATGAACCCGCGGATCAGCCCGTAAAACCGTAGAATATTAGCGGGTCGGGTTTGGACACATCAATTTAAAACCACAGCTTATGATAGGCCAGCTCGCCAGACCCAAAAAAAAAATTAAATCCACATCGGATCGAGCTACTTGGACGCGGATTGGCTCGTTTGACATCTCTAGCACCAAAAAAAAAATAATAATAATACTTGTCTTCACCAAAATTGTGGACTCAATTATATATGTTCTATATACCTACTTGGATATCCTTCTTGCGAGTAAAAATTTTCAGAAAAAGAATCGTCAAAAGTTATTTATATTGTTTTGTCACTTTGTATTGTTACTATTTTATGTATTCTTGATGTACTTGATTTTTATATAAATAAAGATAAACGTTATAAAAAACCTGTGTGGATAGAAATTAGACATAACATGCCAATTAATATGAAAATGGTCAAAATAAAGCTCTAATAAATTTAGTATAGAAAAAAAAGGTGAACTAAAATATGATATCATTTCCTACCTAAAAAGTATAAAAAATATATTTTATATCTGAATTTTGTATGTAACCCAAATTACGCATTGGCCGCAAATATGTTAGTCAACAATGTTAACAACGCTGATTTAGCCGTCTGAATTGGTTTCCACATCAACTAAAATATCCATAATTGCTAATTTAAGTGTCACATCAGCCGTCATTAATTTTTCTTAAAAAAATTCATCTTTTTTTAAAATTGTTTTTTTATATATTTTTTTATTTTTTTCAAATTTGTAATATTTCATTAATTTTAAATAGATGAATAATTTTTTCAGAAAGATGAAAATTTTTTCAAATGCAAAATCTTAGCCAAAAACTTGTGAATTCTAACCAAATTGAAAAAAAAAATTTAGAATCAAATAAACCAAATATCTAAATATTTCTATTATTAGAAAGAAAGATTAAAATCACAGAAATAAAAAAAATGCTAAGAGGCTTTTGCGCAAAAAAATCATCTTGATGAAGCTTTATGGATTCTTAAACCACCAAAAAACTTGATGATATTGGCTGTGTAGATTGGGTGGATGCTTAAAACAATTATAGAAATAAAAAATGATTTATATCTTAAATTAATTAGAAGCATCCACATTAACAATATATATATATATATATATATATATATATATATACTTCTTTTAAAGGTTTTCTACAAATAAATTCTTCAAGTAGATTTTTTTTTTCAACTTTACCCTCCACTTGCTAAAAAACAGATCAAACCAACAAAGTACTATTCAACCTGCAATATAGCCCTTCATCGTGTATAGATTTTGTAATCTGTATATAACTGTGTATACATTAACAAAACTACATCGATTTGAAAAATATTTAGAAAAATCATAATGCAAAACAGAGTATTGAACCAAAAAAAAATATCTTATATATATATATATATATATCAATCAATCAATCTTAATAAAAACGTTCTTCATAACCCAGAATCTCAATAGATAATCTGATCTCCGACTCCTACAATGAAAAGCAGCAATGAAGGAGAGAAGGGGATTTTCTTTAACATTATTATGAATGAACATGTTTGAAATTTCTAAATGATTATGCTGGCATAATTGGCTAAGCATAGTTTAATTTTCCCCCAGGACCCGGGTTTAACACCCCATTTTGCATTATGATTTTTTTTTAAAAAGTATCCAAACGACGTAGTTCCGATAATGTATGTTTTGGGGATTTTTAGTCCACCACTAGGGGCCATGTCTCCTGCAAAATAGAAAGGATGTCATGTGCTTTTTGTGATGAAAGGAGAGGAAAGAAAAGTCTGAGAGTGAAGAAGCTCCACAGTTTGGGAACCAACGTGGAGATAAACAGAAGAAATACAATCGGAAAGATGACTGGAGAGAACGTAAGAGTCGTGTCGAATGCCTGAGCGTAAGAACCACAAGTATCTAGAGAGATATCATGAGACTTAAGATGGTATAAGAATGTGAATCCTGATAACACCGTATTTTGACCACTTTTATGGATCGTTTTGAAATACTTTTTCTATGTATTTAATTGCTTTCAAGTACTTTTATTACGTTTTTCTAGTATTTGTAGTTCCAAGACTTTTTTCAGGTAACTTAGGGAAAAGCTTAACAAAATGGATAGAAGACCATATTTCAGCTCAGAGTCCACCGTCAGAAGTTCACCCCCGATTGAAGGCCTTCTCACCGTCTGATTCAGCTCAAATTTGGAGATCTCAAAGATGGAAGTATCAGCTTTCCAGCACACTTTACAGCTTGGCAATCCAACGGTTCAATCAAAAGATACGCGAAGAGCAAGATGTCTCGTAAACCAGCCGACAAGCGTTTCCACCCGCGGCCAACAGGCCATTCCCCGTGGTCACAACCATCCCGACCGTGGCCAGCCACCCATTCACCGCGGTGACGTACATCCCGACCGCGGCCAGCTAACTCTGAGTTTGAAGGCCCATTTCTGAAGCCCATATCATTTTCCCAGCCTCAATTCCGGAACCCTAAACACCAGAGAGTATTGGAGATTATAAATACATATCATTCAGGTCATTTTTGAAGAGAGAAAGAAGAGAGACGAAAGACTTTACAGAAATTTTACTTTAAGCTTTGTTTTTAGGTTTTAGGAAGAGAGAGATTTTTCTCTTGAACCCTTGTTCTTTCTTTTTCAATTTCGGTTTCTGTACTACTTTTTAATACTATGTTTTTGATTTCGTTTATCATGTGTGAGTAGTTTTATTGTTGGGTCTAAGGTATTTTCAATGGGGATATATATGTTTGATGAGGATTCCATGAGCTATTGAGCCGAATCTTAGAGTTTTTTCATCTGAATTCGTTTTTACTGCATGAGAGTAGCGTCATGAAATACAATCTGATCCAGATGCCTGGTGACACGAAAGTGTTCATCCGGTGTCAGATCTAGTTTGGGAGAGCAAAACAAACATAGGAGTGGAAACCTACCTATGGGCAATTTGTGAATGCTGACGAGTCTTAAACATAATGCATCTCTTCTTTTCCAGGGCCAGAGTGGAAACCTACTGGTCAGGGTTGAGAGAGATAGTTGTCTATGATCACGACAATGGCGTATTCATACGTCCGTGACTCCAGCTCGAAAAGTTTAAGCTAAGATCTTATCAAACTTACTCTCTAGCAATGTTTTGAATCGTTCATACCCCTGAGAAAACTTCCCTGAACCCCAGCGCTTTCTTTCTTATAGATTTACACCGATTTTCATTCAAGCTTTAGACTAGCATCTTTACTCTTTCAATCGATTTTCACTTAAGCAATTAGGTTTAGCCGTTTTTCTCGTTTCTACTCGTTTTTGTTAAGTTTAGTTATTCGGTCATTTTAATTCTCGTATACTCTCTTTAAGATTCGTTTTGACGTTTTAAACACAACACCAAAACCCTCACAAAACTCGTCTGGTTCTAGACTTCCTTACTTTATATTTCTTTTGAAGGCTTTTGCAGGAAAGATCCTCCTTCCCTGTGGATTCGATCCCTAAGTACTACAATCCATCAGATGTGCACTTGCGGCTATTGATTTCATTTAGGGTAAAACTTGACACCCTCATCGCAGACCACACCAAGTTTTTGGCGCCGTTTCCGGGGAAGGCACGCATTTTCTTTTCCGCAAAACCGTAAGAAAGGTTGGTAAATCGACTCTAGAACCATTTTTCTGCATATTTCCATTTTTTGGTTCTTTTTGTTTAAGGTTAGGAAGCAATGAACCATATGAAACGAAATTACTACTATGACGGAGGTTTTTACAACACTCCTCAAGCAACTCGACGCCGAGAAGCACAATACATTTGTGATCTCTCCTCAATGGATCGGAATTCAATTCTGAACCACCACACAAGAGGACTTCGCAGCCACAACAAATCAATTCGCGAAGTTTTAG